TACAACTTGAGGTTTTGGTATGGTATGGTATGGTATGGTATGGTATGGTATGGTATGGTATGGTATGGTATGGTATGGTATGGTAGGTATCCGTCAATCCCGTTTGGTTTGGTCCAGGGCCTCTACGCTGACCATGTTCTCTCTGGAGTAGAGTTCTGAGTAATGTTCCACACAGGGATTCATGTGTTGATCACGGTCTTTAATAATCTCTCCAGTGGCTGAGTTCAGGGGAGCCGTCTGGTTTGTGTAGGGCCTGTTTGATCCCATCGTACATGCCTCTTATGTTGCCGACAGTGGCTGCGGTCTGGATGCTGGAACAGAGTCGGAGCTAGTAATCGTTGGCATAGCGCCTTGCAGCTTGTTGAACTCTACTGCGGGCAGTATGGAGGGCCTGTAGGTTCTCTTCTGAGAGCAAGTCCTTATAGGCTGAGAGAGCTCGTCTTTTTTCCTCTACGAGGGGGGTAACAGTTCTTCTGCAGTGGCCTCGAACCAGTCTGCTGACTTGTTCTGCCTCTTACCGAAGGTGGACATGGGAGTTTTGAAAATAGTGCCCCTGAGGTGTGACCACTTCTCACTTCTCACTTTACAGGGGGCCTCGTAGCCTGGTGGATAGCGCGCAGGACTCGTAATTCTGTGGCGCGGGTTCGATTCCCGCACGAAGCAGAAACAAATGGGCAAAGTTTCTTTCACCCTGAATGCCCCTGTTACCTAGCAGTAAATAGGTACCTGGGAGTCAAGTCAGCTGTCCCGGGCTGCTTCCTGGGGGTGGAGGCCTGGTCGAGGACCGGGCCGCGGGGACACTAAAGCCCCGAAATCATCTCAAGATAACCTCAAGATGGTATGGTATGGTATGGTATGGTATGGTATGGTATGGTATCCGTCAATCCCGTTTGGTTATGGAGTTGTGCCTTGTGTGCAATCCGTTCTCTCACTTTCGTACAGTCAATATTGACTTATTGAATAAATGCATATGTGACATACTAATTTATTGTGAATATTTTAGTTTACCTTGAAAAGCTTCATAGAAAACACCGACCTTACCTAACCTTCTTAGTTTGTTAAAATAAGCATCTTATTGCTTCTTAATAACAATTATTACTTAACGTATTATAGGTATAGGTTAAGTAATAATTGTAATTACGAAGCAATAAGATGCTTATCTTAACATACTAAGAAGGTTAGGTAAGGTCGGTGTTTTCTATGAAGCTTTTCAAGGTAAACTAAAATATTCACAATAAATTAGTATGTCACATATGCACTTATTTAATAAGTCAATATTGACTGTACGAAAGTGCGAGAACGGGTTGTTGTGTGTGTAGTTGGCTGCAGCGTCTTCTGTGGCTGTGAAATCCAACTCGAGAACGGCAGTCCCGACCGCAGCGTGTTCAGATTAACGCCGCAGCGGTTGCATTCGTCAGTCGTGGAGACTTCTTCTGAAGTCTCTTTTCCTACGTTTGCCTTTTCAGTTCGCCCTCAAATTGCCGAAGTCCCTTCTATACTTTGCATCTCCAGGCTCATCTGTCCGCAGCTGTCACCTCCCAAGTGTTGATGACGATGTTCAGCTGTTTGATGTAGCGTTTGCAGATGTCTTTGAAACGCAGCTGGGGTCTTCCGGTGGGCCTCTTTCCTGATGCCAGCTCTCTCTCTCTCTATATGAGGTCCTTCGGTATGCGGCCATCTTTCATGTGTGTGTGAGACATGTCCCAGCATGCGTCTCTGCTTCAGGAGAGTGAACATTGAAGGGATTCCTGTTCTCTCGAGTACTGCATTGCTGGTGACGTGGTCTCTCCACGTGACATGGAAACCTTAAATGATGGGCAGGCACTCGAATGCATCCAGGGCCTCAACGCTGACCATGTTCTCTCTGGAGTAGAGTTCTGAGTAATGTTCCACACAGGGATTCATGTGTTGATCACGGTCTTTAATAATCTCTCCAGTGGCTGAGTTCAGGGGAGCCGTCTGGTTTGTGTAGGGCCTGTTTGATCCCATCGTACATGCCTCTTATGTTGCCGACAGTGGCTGCGGTCTGGATGCTGGAACAGAGTCGGAGCTAGTAATCGTTGGCATAGCGCCTTGCAGCTTGTTGAACTCTACTGCGGGCAGTATGGAGGGCCTGTAGGTTCCCTTCTGAGAGCAGGTCCTTGTAGGCTGAGAGAGCTCGTCTTTTTTCCTCTACGAGGGGGGTAACAGTTCTTCTGCACTGGCCTCGAACCAGTCTGCTGACTTGTTCTGCCTCTTACCGAAGGTGGACATGGGAGTTTTGAAAATAGTGCCCCTGAGGTGTGACCACTTCTCACTTGCGCTATCGCAGGGTGGTCCTGGAAGGGCATATACCAGCGCAGCAGTGAACTCCTCCACCTTGGGAGGATCACGGGTCTGGATTACGTTAATGCGTGGCCTTCCCCTCCTTCTTTGCTCTGTGGATTTTCCGGGGCTGGAACTTTACTTGGAAAACGACGAGAGAGTGGTCGGTGTCACAATCCAACCCGTTCTCGCAAATTTAATAAGTCAATATTGACTTATTAAATATGTGCATAGGTGACATACTTAACATAATAGTTTCCCTTGAAAAGCTTCATAGAAAACACCGACCTTACCTAACCTACTTAGTATGTTAAGATAAGCATCTTATTGCTTCGTAATTACAATTATTACCTAACCTATTCCTATAATAGGTTAAGTAACACTTGTAATTACGAAGCTATAAGATGCTTATTTTAACATACTAAGTAAGTTAGGTAAGGTCGGTGTTTTCTATGAAGCTTTTCAAGGGCAACTATTATGTTTAGTATGTCACCTATGCACGCAACTAATAAGTCAATATTGACTTATTAAATTTACGAGAACGGGTTGCACAATCTGCGCACTAGAAGCTGCGGGTCACTTTGACGCTTCCCAGATTCTTAGGCTGCGTAAGCACCAGGATGAGTTGGTGCCAATGCTAAGACCTGGGGTGTCTCCAGGAAACTTTGTGCTGGGACTTGGTGTCGAAGAAGGAATTGGTGATGCAGAGATCATGACGGCAGCAGAACTCCAGGAGGCGCTGCCCACTCTCATTCATCTTCCCAAACCCAAACTGGCCCAGGCAGGAAGGCCAAGAGCTGTGATCAGAACCAACTCTTGCATTAAAGTCTCCCAGGAGGAAGACTGGCTCTTGTTGAGGTATGTCTCTGAGAGCTAGGCCGAGGTCATCATAGAACTTGTCCTTCGCTTCGGTAGAGGAGGTCAGTGTTGGTGCATGGCTGGAGGCTGACCATTCCTGCGCATTACTACTGCTGTGTGAAGCTGAAGTCCTTGCAGACCCCTCCGTGGGCAGTACTATGGACCCTAACAACCTGTTCCTGACGGCAGAGCCAACGCCATGCTTCCTTACCTCTTCTGGAAGTTTGTCCTGCCAGAAGAAGGTAAAGTCCTTCTCCCGTATGCTGCCGGTTGCTAGCAGACGTGTCTCCTGCAGGGCGACTATGTCCATCTGGAGCCAATGGTCATTGTTGATCACAGCTGTCTTGTGGGCGTCGTTCCCTTCCAGTAGATCTTCCGTGAGACCCGGTGTCATGGTCCTTACATTCCATGTGCCCAGTTTGAGAGCTATGTGGCTCTGTGCTTGTTTTCTTGTGCCAGGTGAATGGGTTGACGATCCGCTTGTTTGAGCGTGGCCTAAGCCCCAATCACTCTTTATGGTTATCTTGAGATGATTTCAGGGCTTATCATCCTCGCTGCCTGGTCCTCGACCTGGCCTCCTTTTTGCTACGCAGCCCGTAGCAGCTGTCTAACTCTCAAGTACCTATTTACTGCTAGGTGAACAGGTGCATCAGGGTGAAAGAAACTCTGTCCATTCGTTTCCGCTTCCGCCGGGGATGATCCCGGAACCTTAGGACTACGAATCCCAAGCGCTGTCCCCTCAGCTGTCAGGCCCCCTAGTTACAGTGAGTGTTTTTGAGAGGCTGGAGTCTGGAACACTGTTATCTTGAGGTTATCTTGAGATGATTTCGGGGCTTTAGTGTCCCCGCGGCCCGGTCCTCGACCAGGCCTCCACCCCCAGGAAGCAGCCCGTGACAGCTTACTAACACCCAGGTACCTATTTACTGCTAGGTAACAGGGGCATTTTGGGTGAAAGAAACTTGGCCCATTTGTTTCTGCCTCGTGCGGGAATCGAACCCGCGCCACAGAATTACCAGTCCTGCGCGCTATCCACCAGGCTACGAGGCCCCTTCACTGTTAGTGAAGATTTGCCATTAATGTTGAGGCGACGTGACAGAGGACGACACCGTAGCAGCAGGTCACTCACCTGTTCAGTACCGGTTCCATGATAACTGTCGAAGCCTTCTAGTTAGATAAGGCTGTAATTATTCATACTAACAACCATACTAACCGTTTAAATACAGTTTAGTGGAATTAATAATGCTAACCATTTAAATACGGTATAACCAAATTTAATAATTATGACCCACAAAGTGTGTGAAGTGGAAGTTTATCAGTAATTTTAAATAATAACTTATACAGGCCGCTTAATATAATAATATAACAATTAAAATAATTACGGTCCATTCAAGAATAAATAAATTTAATAAAATAATCACTGGTAGATTTTCCCCACAAAAGTAGGCCCCGACTTCTAGAAGGAAGTAGGCCCCGACTTCTAGAAGGAAGTAGGCCCCGACTTCTAGAAGGAAGTAGGCCCCGACTTCTAGAAGGAAGTAGGCCCCGACTTCTAGAAGGAAGTAGGCCCCGACTTCTAGAAGGAAGTAGGCCCCGACTTCTAGAAGGAAGTAGGCCCCCGACTTCTATAAGGAAGTAGGCCCCGACTTCTAGAAGGAAGTAGGCCCCGACTTCTAGAAGGAAGTAGGCCCCGACTTCTAGAAGGAAGTAGGCCCCGACTTCTAGAAGGAAGTAGGCCCCGACTTCTAGAAGGAAGTAGGCCCCGACTTCTAGAAGGAAGTAGGCCCCGACTTCTAGAAGGAAGTAGGCCCCAACTTCTAGAAGGAAATAGGCCCCGACTTCTAGAAGGAAGTAGGTCCCCGACTTCTAGAAGGAAGTAGGTCCCGACTTCTAGAAGGAAGTAGGCCCCGACTTCTAGAAGGAAGTAGGCCCCGACTTCTAGAAGGAAGTAGGTCCCGACTTCTAGAAGGAAGTAGGCCCCGACTTCTAGAAGGAAGTAGTCCCCGACTTCTAGAAGGAAGTAGGCCCCGACTTCTAGAAGGAAGTAGGTCCCCGACTTCTAGAAGGAAGTAGGCCCCGACTTCTAGAAGGAAGTAGGCCCCGACTTCTAGAAGGAAGTAGGCCCCGACTTCTAGAAGGAAGTAGGCCCCGACTTCTAGAAGGAAGTAGGCCCCGACTTCTAGAAGGAAGTAGGCCCCGACTTCTAGAAGGAAGTAGGCCCCGACTTCTAGAAGGAAGTAGGCCCCGACTTCTATAAGGAAGTAGGCCCCCCGACTTCTATAAGGAAGTAGGCCCCCCGACTTCTAGAAGGAAGTAGGCCCCGACTTCTATAAGGAAGTAGGCCCCCGACTTCTATAAGGAAGTAGGCCCCCCGACTTCTATAAGGAAGTAGGCCCCCCGACTTCTAGAAGGAAGTAGGCCCCGACTTCTATAAGGAAGTAGGTCCCCGACTTCTATAAGGAAGTAGGCCCCCCGACTTCTAGAAGGAAGTAGGCCCCCCGACTTCTAGAAGGAAGTAGGCCCCGACTTCTAGAAGGAAGTAGGGCCCGACTTCTAGAAGGAAGTAGGCCCCCCGACTTCTAGAAGGAAGTAGGCCCCCCGACTTCTAGAAGGAAGTAGGCCCCGACTTCTATAAGGAAGTAGGCCCCCGACTTCTATAAGGAAGTAGGCCCCCCGACTTCTAGAAGGAAGTAGGCCCCGACTTCTATAAGGAAGTAGGCCCCCGACTTCTATAAGGAAGTAGGCCCCCCGACTTCTATAAGGAAGTAGGCCCCCCGACTTCTAGAAGGAAGTAGGCCCCGACTTCTATAAGGAAGTAGGTCCCCGACTTCTATAAGGAAGTTGGCCCCCCGACTTCTAGAAGGAAGTAGGCCCCCCGACTTCTAGAAGGAAGTAGGCCCCGACTTCTAGAAGGAAGTAGGCCCCGACTTCTAGAAGGAAGTAGGACCCCCGACTTCTAGAAGGAAGTAGGCCCCCCGACTTCTAGAAGGAAGTAGGCCCCGACTTCTATAAGGAAGTAGGCCCCCGACTTCTATAAGGAAGTAGGCCCCCCGACTTCTATAAGGAAGTAGGCCCCCCGACTTCTAGAAGGAAGTAGGCCCCGACTTCTATAAGGAAGTAGGTCCCCGACTTCTATAAGGAAGTAGGCCCCCCGACTTCTAGAAGGAAGTAGGCCCCGACTTCTAGAAGGAAGTAGGCCCCGACTTCTAGAAGGAAGTAGGCCCCGACTTCTATAAGGAAGTAGGTCCCCGACTTCTATAAGGAAGTAGGCCCCCCGACTGCTATAAGGAAGTAGGCCCCCCGACTTCTAGAAGGAAGTAGGCCCCGACTTCTATAAGGAAGTAGGCCCCCGACTTCTATAAGGAAGTAGGCCCACCGACTTCTATAAGGAAGTAGCCCCCCCCCCTTCTAGAAGGAAGTAGGCCCCGACTTCTATAAGGAAGTAGGTCCCCGACTTCTATAAGGAAGTAGGCCCCCCGACTTCTAGAAGGAAGTAGGCCCCCCGACTTCTAGAAGGAAGTAGGCCCCGACTTCTAGAAGGAAGTAGGCCCCGACTTCTAGAAGGAAGTAGGCCCCCCGACTTCTAGAAGGAAGTAGGCCCCCCGACTTCTAGAAGGAAGTAGGCCCCGACTTCTATAAGGAAGTAGGCCCCCGACTTCTAGAAGGAAGTAGGCCCCGACTTACAGAAGGAAGTAGGTCCCCCGACTTCTGGAAGGAAGTAGGTCCCCCGACTTCTATAAGGAAGTAGGCCCCCCGACTTCTAGAAGGAAGTAGGCCCCGACTTCTAGAAGGAAGTAGGCCCCGACTTCTAGAAGGAAGTAGGCCCCGACTTCTAGAAGGAAGTAGGCCCCGACTTCTAGAAGGAAGTAGGCCCCGACTTCTAGAAGGAAGTAGGCCCCGACTTCTAGAAGGAAGTAGGTCCCCGACTTCTAGAAGGAAGTAGGCCCCGACTTCTATAAGGAAGTAGGCCCCGACTTCTATAAGGAAGTAGGCCCCCCGACTTCTAGAAGGAAGTAGGCCCCGACTTCTTTAAGGAAGTAGGCCCCCGACTTCTAGAAGGAAGTAGGCCCCGACTTACAGAAGGAAGTAGGTCCCCCGACTTCTGGAAGGAAGTAGGTCCCCCGACTTCTATAAGGAAGTAGGCCCCCCGACTTCTAGAAGGAAGTAGGCCCCGACTTCTAGGAGGAAGTAGGCCCCGACTTCTAGAAGGAAGTAGGCCCCGACTTCTAGAAGGAAGTAGGCCCCGACTTCTATAAGGAAGTAGGCCCCGACTTCTAGAAGGAAGTAGGCCCCGACTTCTATAAGGAAGTAGGCCCCCCGACTTCTAGAAGGAAGTAGGCCCCGACTTCTAGAAGGAAGTAGGCCCCGACTTCTATAAGGAAGTAGGCCCCCCGACTTCTATAAGGAAGTAGGCCCCCGACTTCTATTAGGAAGTAGGCCCCCCGACTTCTAGAAGGAAGTAGGCCCCGACTTCTAGAAGGTAGTAGGCCCCGACTTCTATAAGGAAGTAGGCCCCCGACTTCTATAAGGAAGTAGGCCCCCGACTTCTAGAAGGAAGTAGGTCCCCCGACTTCTAGAAGGAAGTAGGCCCCGACTTCTATAAGGAAGTAGGCCCCCCGACTTCTATAAGGAAGTAGGCCCCCCGACTTCTATAAGGAAGTAGATCCCCGACTTACAGAAGGAAGTAGGTCCCCCGACTTCTGGAAGGAAGTAGGTCCCCTGACTTCTAGAAGGAAGTAGGTCCCCCGACTTCTAGAAGGAAGAAGGTCCCCCGACTTCTGGAAGGAAGTAGGTCCCCGACTTCTAGAAGGAAGAAGGTCCCCCGACTTCTAGAAGGAAGTAGGCCCCCCGACTTCTAGAAGGAAGTAGGTCCCCCGGCTTCTAGAAGGAAGTAGGTCCCCCGACTTCTGGAAGGAAGTAGGTCCCCCGACTTCTAGAAGGAAGTAGGTCCCCGACTTCTAGAAAGAAGTAGGCCCCCGACTTCTAAAGGAAGTAGGTCCCCCGGCTTCTAGAAGGAAGTAGGTCCCCCGACTTCTAGAAGGAAGTAGGTCCCCGACTTATAGAAACAAGTAGGTTCCCCGACTTACAGAAGGAAGTAGGCCCCCCGACTTCTATAAGGAAGTAGATCCCCGACTTCTAGAAACAAGTTGGTTCCCCGACTTACAGAAGGAAGTAGGCCTCCCGACTTCTATAAGGAAGTAGATTCCCGGCTTCTATAAGGCAGTAGATCCCCGACTTCTAGAAACAAGTTGGTTCCCCGACTTACAGAAGGAAGTAGGCCCCCCGACTTCTATAAGGAAGTAGATCCCCGACTTCTAGAAACAAGTTGGTTCCCCGACTTACAGAAGGAAGTAGGCCCCGACTTCTAGAAGGAAGTAGGCCCCGGCTTCTATAAGGAAGTAGATCCCCGACTTCTAGAAACAAGTTGGTTCCCCGACTTACAGAAGGAAGTAGGCCCCCCGACTTCTATAAGGAAGTAGATCCCCGACTTCTAGAAACAAGTTGGTTCCCCGACTTACAGAAGGAAGTAGGCCCCGACTTCTAGAAGGAAGTAGGCCCCCGACTTCTAGAAGGAAGTAGGCCCCGACTTCTAGAAGGAAGTAGGCCCCGACTTCTATAAGGAAGTAGGCCCCCGACTTCTAGAAGGAAGTAGGCCCCGACTTCTAGAAGGAAGTAGGGCCCGACTTCTAGAAGGAAGTAGGCCCCCGACTTCTAGAAGGAAGTAGGCCCCGACTTCTAGAAGGAAGTAGGCCCCGACTTCTAGAAGGAAGTAGGCCCCGACTTCTAGAAGGAAGTAGGCCCCGACTTCTAGAAGGAAGTAGGCCCCGACTTCTAGAAGGAAGTAGGCCCCGACTTCTAGAAGGAAGTAGGCCCCGACTTCTAGAAGGAAGTAGGCCCCGACTTCTAGAAGGAAGTAGGCCCCCGACTTCTAGAAGGAAGTAGGCCCCGACTTCTAGAAGGAAGTAGGCCCCGACTTCTAGAAGGAAGTAGGCCCCCGACTTCTAGAAGGAAGTAGGCCCCGACTTCTAGAAGGAAATAGGCCCCGACTTCTAGAAGGAAGTAGGCCCCGACTTCTAGAAGGAAGTAGGCCCCGACTTCTAGAAGGAAATAGGCCCCGACTTCTAGAAGGAAGTAGGCCCCGACTTCTAGAAGGAAGTAGGCCCCGACTTCTAGAAGGAAGTAGGCCCCCGACTTCTAGAAGGAAGTAGGCCCCGACTTCTAGAAGGAAGTAGGCCCCGACTTCTAGAAGGAAGTAGGCCCCCGACTTCTAGAAGGAAGTAGGCCCCGACTTCTAGAAGGAAGTAGGCCCCGACTTCTAGAAGGAAGTAGGCCCCGACTTAGAGCAGGAAGTAGGCCCCGACTTAGAGCAGGAAGTAGGCCCCGACTTAGAGCAGGAAGTAGGCCCCGACTTAGAGCAGGAAGTAGGCCCCGACTTAGAGCAGGAAGTAGGCCCCGACTTAGAGCAGGAAGTAGGCCCCGACTTAGAGCAGGAAGTAGGCCCCGACTTAGAGCAGGAAGTAGGCCCCGACTTAGAGCAGGAAGTAAAGCATATAAAAAATACAGAATCTTACGCCCAGTATATCCACATCCAGATTTAAAATCCTTGAGAACCCTGTCACGTCTGGCCGGGAGCCCCTACCTCCCCAGAGCCCCTCCCCAGAGCCCCTCCCCAGAGCCCCTCCCCAGAGCCCCTCCCCAGAGCCCCTCCCCAGAGCCCCTCCCCAGAGCCCCTCCCCAGAGCCCCTCCCCAGAGCCCCTCCCCAGAGCCCCTCCCCAGAGCCCCTCCCCAGAGCCCCTCTCCAGAGCCCCTCCCCAGAGCCCCTCCCCAGAGCCCCTCCCCAGAGCCCCTCCCCAGTGCCTCTCCCCAGTGCCTCTCCCCAGAGCCCCTCCCCAGAGCCCCTCCCCAGAGCCCCTCCCCAGAGCCCCTCCCCAGAGCCCCTCACCAGAGCCCCTCCCCAGTGCCTCTCCCCAGAGCCTCTCCCCAGAGCCCCTCCCCAGTGCCTCTCCCCAGTGCCTCTCCCCAGAGCCCCTCCCCAGTGCCTCTCCCCAGTGCCTCTCCCCAGAGCCCCTCCCCAGAGCCCCTCCCCAGAGCCCCTCCCCAGAGCCCCTCCCCAGTGCCTCTCCCCAGTGCCTCTCCCCAGAGCCCCTCCCCAGTGCCTCTCCCCAGTGCCTCTCCCCAGAGCCCCTCCCCAGTGCCTCTCCCCAGTGCCTCTCCCCAGAGCCCCTCCCCAGTGCCTCTCCCCAGTGCCTCTCCCCAGAGACTCGTCACGCTAAAACCTTGGCTTCTATAGATTTTTCTGGGAGAGAAGAAAACGGCTTCTCAGTTAAATTTATATAATAAAGAATAAAGGAAAGAGAAATACTCACACCAAAGAGAAAGTTACAGTAAGTTAAAATACAAGAACAATGCCATATATATATACTGAAATTTTTTTTAATATTCTCCATATACTATTTAGGACATTCAGTCTAACGTTGCACATTTATCACTGCGGATGACGACTTAACTAAACTTATCACAATAAACTCCGAGGCAAAGCACCTGTTAGCTGCCTGTTAATTCTTCAGTCACGTTGTATGTAATGGTACCAGTCTAGGAGGGAGGGAGGGAGGGAATTATCTGGGGGAACCTTACCTTGAGGTTACCTTGAGGCGCTTCCGGGGCTTAGCGTCCCCGCGGCCCGGTCGTCGACCAGGCCTCCTGGTTGCCGGACTGATCAACTAGGCTGTTGGACGCGGCTGCTCGCAGCCTGACGTGAGTCACAGCCTGGTTGATCAGGTATCCTTTGGAGGTGTTTATCAAGTTCTCTCTTGAACACTGTGAGGGGTCGGCCAGTTATGCCCCTTATGTGTAGTGGAAGCGTGTTGAACAGTCTCGGGCCTCTGATGTTGATAGTTCTCTCTTGAACACTGTGAGGGGTCGGCCAGTTATGTCCCTTATGTGTAGTGGAAGCGTGTTGAACAGTCTCGGGCCTCTGATGTTGATAGTTCTCTCTTGAACACTGTGAGGGGTCGGCCAGTTATGTCCCTTATGTGTAGTGAAAGCGTGTTGAACAGTCTCGGGCCTCTGATGTTGATAGTTCTCTCTTGAACACTGTGAGGGGTCGGCCAGTTATGTCCCTTATGTGTAGTGGAAGTGTGTTGAACAGTCTCGGGCCTCTGATGTTGATAGTTCTCTCTTGAACACTGTGAGGGGTCGGCCAGTTATGTCCCTTATGTGTAGTGGAAGTGTGTTGAACAGTCTCGGGCCTCTGATGTTGATAGTTCTCTCTTGAACACTGTGAGGGGTCGGCCAGTTATGTCCCTTATGTGTAGTGGAAGCGTGTTGAACAGTCTCGGGCCTCTGATGTTGATAGTTCTCTCTTGAACACTGTGAGGGGTCGGTCAGTTATGTCCCTTATGTGTAGTGGAAGCGTGTTGAACAGTCTCGGGCCTCTGATGTTGATAGTTCTCTCTTGAACACTGTGAGGGGTCGGTCAGTTATGTCCCTTATGTGTAGTGGAAGCGTGTTGAGCAGTCTCGGGCCTCTGATGTTGATAGTTCTCTCTTGAACACTGTGAGGGGTCGGTCAGTTATGTCCCTTATGTGTAGTGGAAGCGTGTTGAGCAGTCTCGGGCCTCTGATGTTGATAGTTCTCTCTTGAACACTGTGAGGGGTCGGCCAGTTATGTCCCTTATGTGTAGTGGAAGTGTGTTGAACAGTCTCGGGCCTCTGATGTTGATAGTTCTCTCTTGAACACTGTGAGGGGGTCGGCCAGTTATGTCCCTTATGTGTAGTGGAAGCGCGTTGAACAGTCTCGGGCCTCTGATGTTGATAGTTCTCTCTTGAACACTGTGAGGGGTTGGCCAGTTATGTCCCTTATGTGTAGTGGAAGCGTGTTGAACAGTCTCGGGCCTCTGATGTTGATAGTTCTCTCTTGAACACTGTGAGGGGTCGGCCAGTTATGTCCCTTATGTGTAGTGGAAGCGTGTTGAACAGTCTCGGGCCTCTGATGCTGATAGTTCTCTCTCAGAGTACCTGTTGCGCCAAGCCATTACGACTATATAGCACATGGAAGGGGTCAGGATAAGGATTTGGGATGGGACGGGGGGGGGGGGGGGAAGGTGCCCAACCACGTGGACAGTAGGGGATTGAACGCTTCGACCTGCATGAAGCGAGACCGTCGCTCTACCGTCCAGCCCAAGTGGTTGGGACAAACATTCAGGAGAGAGCGACCTAACACCTACAACGATCCAACCCGTCCTTCTAATAGAACGTCGTATTTTGGCGTATACTTTCCTTAAGGCCAAACATTGTCGTACTGGAAAATGGTAACGGCTCGCGAAATTTGCACACTGTCCCGTTTTCTGTGTTGGGTCGTCTGGTAGGTTAGGATAAGGGATAAGGGCTCAGGTCCGCCACTTTTACGAAAAAATGTCCTGCAAATTCAGATGAAATTGTACCGTGAAGTACCTCAAAATGTACTGTGAAGTACCTTAAAATGTACTGTGAAGTACCTCAAAATGTACCGTGAAGTATCTCAAATTGTACCGTGAAATACCTCAAATTGTACCGTGAATTATCTCAAATTGTACCGTGAATTATCTCAAATTGTACCGTGAATTATCTCAAATTGTACCGTGAATTATCTCAAATTGTACCGTGAATTATCTCATATTGTACCGTGAATTATCTCAAATTGTACCGTGAATTATCTCAAATTGTACCGTGAATTATCTCAAATTGTACCGTGAATTATCTCAAATTGTACCGTGAATTATCTCATATTGTACCGTGAATTATCTCAAATTGTACCGTGAATTATCTCAAATTGTACCGTGAATTATCTCATATTGTACCGTGAAGTACTTCAAATTGTACTGTGAAGTACCTCAAATTTTACCGTGAAGTACCTCAAATTGTACTGTGAAGTACCTCAAATTGTACTGTGAAGTACCTCAAATTGTACTGTGAAGTACCTCAAATTGTACTGTGAAGTACCTCAAATTGTACTGTGAAGTACCGCAAAATGGACACCTTGCCGAAGCCTGTGCTCCTGTTGGGTGATTTCAACTGTCGAAATACCCTCTTGGGTGATGCTCTGATTAACACCCGAGGCCGCCTTCTCGAACCGTTTATCCTCTCTTCTTCCCTGTCTCTTCTGAATTCTGGTGAACCCACTCATATGGACTCTTGCACTCGCACCCTCTCCTGTTTTATCTTTCTGCTCGTTGTCTCTTTACTTAGATTTCACAGGGCGAGTTCTTGATGACCTCCATAACATTGACCATTTCCCCAACCTTGCTCTCTTTTTCTCTTTTCACCTCCCCTCTCCTTCCCTAGGTGGCGGTTTGCCAAAGCTGACTGGAACCTATTCATCCTCCGTGCTACACTCTCTGACTTCTCCGCTCTGCCTCTCCCTCGCGCCCTCCTCCTTTTTCATGACAGTCTTTGACGCTGCCCTCTGCTCTATTCCTCACTCTACTTCCCGGGGCACGGGGAAGTGCGTTTCCTGGTGGAATACAGACTGTGCTCGGGCTGTCCGCTGTAAGCGTGCAGCCTGGAAGGAGACCGAAACGCCGGCAGACGGCTGATTCTTTTATTTTGTTTCGGAAGGCAAGTGCGGTGGCCCGTAGGACCATCCGTACAGCTAAGCGTGAGAGTTGGAAATCTTATGTTTCCGTCATTACGTCCGATATTCCTTTGCTGAAAATCTGGAAGAAAATCCGCAAGATAGCGGGTAAGTTTTTTCCAGATGTCTCACCGGTTCTTCACCTCCTTGGCGCTCTTGTGGCGGATCCAGTGACGGTCGCGACCAAACTGGGTTCCCACTTTTCTACTGTTAGCTCTGGTTCTCATCTTCCTCAGTCCTTCCTTCTTCGTAAGCCTGTTCTTGAATCTCATCCCTTAAATCTCTGCACTCATCTCCGCCTTCCTTTTAATGATCTCTTCTCTCTCTCTGAACTTCACTCTGTCCTGGCCCTCTGAGGTTCTACAGCAGTGGGCTCGGATGACATTCATTATGAGATGCTTCACCATCTCCCTCCGTGCACGTCTCAGTATTTACTGAGTCTGTATAACCAGGTCTGGGAGTCGTCGTCCGTCCCTGAGGACTGCCTCAATGCCATTGTACTTCCTATGGGCGCCTGACAGCTGGGTGGATGGCACTTCGGATTCGTAGTCCTGATATTCCGGGTTCGATCCCCGGTGGAGGCAGAGACAAATGGGCAAAATGTTTCTTTCACCCTAATGCCCCTGACCTAGCTGTAAATAGGTACCTGGGAGTTAGACAGCCGCTACAGGCTGCTTGCTGGGTGTGTGTGTAACAAAAAGAAGGCCTTGTTGAGGACCGGGCCGCGTGGACGCTAAACCCCGAAATCATCTCGAGATAACCTATTCGGGATCCAGGGTCTCTCGGGACAACCCCCTAGGACTTCCGCCCTATTGCCCTCACGAGTTGTGTCTGCAAACTCTTTGAGCGTATGGTTAATATTCGTCTGTTGTGGTTCTTGGAACACCATCACCACCTCTCTTCTTCTCAATTTGGTTTCCGCAAATGCCGCAGTCCGACTGATGTCCTGGTGAACTTGGAGGTCTATATTCGTATTGCTTTGCTGCGAAGACCTCCGTTGTTGCCGTCCTTTTTGACCTGGAAAACGCTTGTGGTGATCCTTTTTGACCTGGAAAAGGCTTGTGGTGATCCTTTTTGACCTGGAAAAGGCTTATGATACCACCCGGAGATACCATATTCTGTCCCAACTTCATTCTTTTGGCCTTCGTGGTAATCTCCCTCTCTTCCTCCAAAGCTTCCTCTCTCGTCGTTACTTTAGAGTCAGGCTTGGTGCACTCTTTCTCTTGCCTCTTTTTGGCAATACGAAGGTGTACACCAAGGTAGTGTTCTGAGCACTACTCTTTTTCTGGTTGCCCTCAATGGTCTTCTGTCCTCCCTTCCCTCTGGCGTCTTGTCTGCTCTTTATGTCGACGATCTTATTCTTCGCTGTCGAGGTGGTGATTCGCCTCACCTTCAACGGCAGCTTCAACTTGCGGTTGATACCGTGTCGTCTTGATCCACCAATCATGGTTTCAAGTTTCATCTCCCGGACAGGCCCCATGGTCATAAAAGTATTTGTGTGTACGTCTGTTACCATACTACTTGTGAAGGAGGAAATGTATATGTTTACCTCTCAGAATGTTCGGTAATGTTTATTTGTGATGTGTGTCTATGTATATATTAACACGTTGTACTGAATGGGGTGAGAATAGCTTGAGCTACCTCATCCCTTTGTGTGTATTTTACCTCAATAAACTTATTTCAATTTCAATTTCAATTTCAATGGTTTCAAGTTCTCTGAAACTAAGACATGTGCAATGACTTTTACTTAGAAGCATGTCGTTCTTTATTCCTCTATATCGCTTTATGGTCATCCCCTTGTGTACAAAGATTTCGCGAAGCTTATAGGGATAATCTTTGACTCTCGTTTGTCTTGGTCACCCCATATCTCTTACTTCAGAGTTGAATGCTCTAAGGCCCTTAACCTACCTAAGGTTTTGTCCCATGCTTCTTGGGGAGCAGATAGGTGCACGCTCTTTTCTTTACATTCCTCTCTCATACTGTCTAAACTCAATTATGGTTTCCCTGCTTACTCTTCTGCTTCTCCTTCTATTCTTCACCGTCTTGATCCTTTGCACCATACTGGGTTGCGCCTCAGCTCTGGTGCCTTTCGTTCAACTCCTACCCTCAGCTTGTACGTTGATACTGGCTTCCTGTCTCTGCAGGACCGCCGTGATTGCTACTGTCTTCGCTACCTTGTGCGGAGCTGGCAACACCCTCACTCGCCTGAGTCATGCTTTGACTTTTCCCTCTCCTGTAGTTCCTGTTACCATTCACCACCTCCCTTTTTCTGCCCGATTGTTTTGCCTGCAACATTCTCTTTTGTTTAGTATTACTAATATTTCTCCTCGTGTTCTGTCCTTACCCCTGTGGAGGGTCCCCCTTCCTCAATATTGCAAATGCCTTACCCACATCACTAAAGGTTTTACCTCTCCTACAGTTATGAAATGCCTTTTCATTGAACACTTTTCTTCACAGTCCCGCTCCGTTTCCATCTTCACCGATGGGTCTTAGTCTGCTGACGGTGTAGGCTACTCTGTTGTTTGTCCTGACTAAACCTACATGTGTCGCCGGCCTCCGGAGACTAGCATCTTGACGGCAGAACTTTATGCTATTCTCTATGCTCTTCGTCTCCTGCTTTCTCGCTGTAACTCCTCCTTTGTTGCTGTAGTTGACTCTCACAGTGCCCTCATGGTTCTGGAGTCCTTTAATCCAGTGCATCCGGTGGTAGTCGAGATTCAGCATTCGCTGTTTCTTATCTCCAGTAGATTTAAGACAGTTGAGTTTTGTTGGGTTCCCAGTACATATTGGTCTCTTTAAATGAGCGTGTGGACGCTGCCTCTAAGGAAGCTATCCGCACTTGTCCAATCTCCCATAAAGGTATTGCTTATTCCGACTTTTACTCAGTTATTCATTCCTTCATCCTTGTCCGTTGGCAAGGTGGTTGGTCTTATGTTACTGGTAACAAACTGCGTGCTCTTTCTGTGGGAACCGACCTGTGAGATTTATATTTATATAATTTATATGAATTTATATAAAATTTATATTTGTTAATTTATATATTTCGATAGCAATTTGTATGATGTTAAGTGGACTGTATTTCTGAAATAATCTCACAAATCGATCCTTACACATTAGGGGGGGTTATATTAAATTTATATATATGCAGCCAATCAAACTACAGTATTAACTACATATATTAGTATACATTGGAGGTGCCTTATCTTATTGTACAGCAGCCTTAGTCCACCAGATATAACTAGGATGTAGACACCAAATTATCCTCGTTTGAGGCTAGCTTCCATCACACTGGTAACTGATATACCAAGTCTTCTTGCTTCCTCTTCTTGTTCCTGTCAAAGAGCACTAGCTGTCAAGCTGGAATCCTAATATATGACAGCTATATCAGAGAAAACACTGTTAAATAGATAAGATAAGGACCAAGGCTTAATTACCTTTATTGAGTCGATTATTTGTGTTCTAACCGGTCCGCCCTTTATCTACTAACATTAATGGCCAGAAATGATTAGATAAACGGGTTTCGGAAAGACACTTCCCTTGTGTTTGTTGAAAGCGTGTTGATGATGGCAGAACACTACTCTGATCTCCATAACACTTCGTCCAAGAGAAATTATAGGAGCTGAACTCGCTCCAACGACTGGTCTTAACAACAATGGCTGACCACCCCTCACTGATGCTACTGGCCTACTTTGTCTAGATATCAGTAACTGATAGAAGGGTCACATTTACTTTATTTTGATACTGATAATTAAGTTAATTCAAATGAGATGTTTTCATGATGTAAAAAGTCCAAAGACTAATGTATTTAAGAATAATTCCCAACAGAATAGCTGGAGAATTTATAATAGTATGTGGCAGTGATATCCTGTTTTCTATAAAAGGAAAATTCCACTACAAGCTACATTTTGTATGGGTTAACTTGTGTATACAATGCAGCAGCAATATTATCTGCCTGTTGAATGTAATATTATTAAATGGTGACGGGTTTTCCGACATAATTCCCTGGGGGCTGCTCACGGGTCGAAGTCCTATTTAGAACAGACGAACACAGATACTCCTCCCTCGAATTATTAAATTAATTTGATGCTAGTAGTTAGTAATCACACATTTGTGCATCTGTTCGTACAGGACAGATGTCCCATACTAGAGTTGCAGGGGTTAGAAGTCTAATGCGATTTCATTTCCCTGTTAACTCTTGAAAGGCTAAAATTATAGCTTAAATACATATTATTTAACCCAGAAGACTGAGTGTGATCAAGTACTACAATCAGGTATGATTCAGGGACTGCAGTGAGATCAGTGACATTAGATATAACTTGAAGCTTGTTCAGGTAACTGGTCACTGATATATAAACACTGAGACCCATGGATTACATCTTGATTAAATAATAAATGTATCAAAATCAGTCGTCAGATTTGTTGGGGTTTAATTTAGTTAATTGATTCAAAGGATTGAATAGCCCATCATTAAAGTCAAGTATGGTTCTGAGACTGCAGTGGGTTCAGTGACATTGGTCGCAGTGACTTGTAGCTGTTTAGGTTACTGTTCACTGATTTGCCACTGAGGCCTCATGAACTCAGCTTCAGCTTTAAATGATGATATTAACATCAACCTCTGTTACTATAGTCAGCTGTAATCTCCATAGTATAATGCTACTGGAGAAATATAATCAGCTGACAAATTTAGATTTCTATTGGTATTGTTTATCTGCAGGCATAGGTCTCCTTAGGCTTAATACTGGGCCTGAGAGTAATTTGCCTCCTGCAGAATTTAGCATGGTTATGCCCTGATATTTAGTAAAGCTACCAATGAATCGATGGTAGTAGTCTGTCCCTACAAGGATACCAAAGTCGGTGAGGTGATCAGACTTAATATTATCTGCCAATTTTATTCCTCTATTTCTCAGGAATTTGGCTGTTGCTCTCAGACCTTGAACTTGTAGGTCTACTGGTATTTTGTCCATCACAATGGCTTGTACTTGACAGACGTATCTGCCTAAACGTACTGATGGTTGTACCACCTGGTAGACTGGAGGTCCTGCATCTGTTAGAAACCCTGAGATGTTGATTGTCATCTGGGCTACAGGCTTTAAATGTAGTTCATCTGCCAACTTTTTAGTGACATATGTTCTCAGGGACCCTTGGTCAAACAACCCAAGGGTATGGACCTTGGCCCTCTTATTCTGGATGGTAATTTGGGCAGTAGGCAAAGTAGTATTACCTTTAGACTTTGCCGATTGGACACTCTTTGTTTGTTGCACTTTGCAGTACTGTACTGTGGTGGGAATGCTATCTTCCACCTTGGGTCTTGAATACGTTAATTTCGAATGTTTGCACAGTGCTGCATGGTGCCTACCTCTTCTACACCTGTTGCAGGTGTTGAATTGGGTATCACAATAGTCTATGTTGTGTGACTTGAGACACCTTGCACATCTCCCTAATTCCTGGAGTCGCTCCATACGAATGTCTCTGGTTGGATAATTAGCACAATGGTATGTTGAATGTTTCTTTTTGCAGAACATACACGTCCCCCAGCCTACTGCACGTTTGGAAGTTACCGGTTTGGGTGAACTAGTAACAGTAGGCTTGGAGGATTCTGCTGCATTGCCAGATTTTCTGCAACTTGATGTGATTGTAATTGACTGATGTTTATTTGGGGTAGTTGTATTACCCTTTAATTGACTATTATTTTCTATTTCTGAAGGCTCGCAAGAGGCTTTAATTTCCTCATTTGCACGTCGTTTGTTTATGATGGAATGTAAATCTTCAGTGATGTCCTGTACTGTCAGGATGGTGTTATGTTGATGTGCATATAATTCATCTAGTATATCGCTGGACAATTTTCGTTGAAGGACTACTTTGATCATCCATTCACTAGTAGTTATATCAACCTTAAGACTGAATGTTCTTGGTAGTGACTCAAACTCCATGCTGAAGGATTGTAATGAGTCAGCAGTCTGATCAGGTTGAGGTAAGTCCAGCAATTGAAGTACTAGAAGTATGACAGTTTTCTCATTGCCAGCATTATCCCTAGGAAGCTGGACTGGGAAATTAGTGCTGTCGCTATCTTCATTTACATTTTCTACTACTGGTTCAGCTTCACCTTTAATTTCAGTTTGGAGGCATGTTAACTTAGTGGCCTCAGGTATTGGGTTTTCAGAATCCACAGAGACTGTGGATAAATTGTCTAAGAACTGCTTAATTTCAGGTGGTATAATATTGGGTGAAGCTGTAGTGGGTGAAGCTTTACTGGGTGAAGCTTTATCCTTGTTGATTAAAGGATCTAATCTGGCTTGACATTTATTCTCAAAAAGATCCAGATCATCCATAACATTATCTACTTTATTTGATGTACTTGCTATTTGTTCTGATTCAATAATCCTGTGTAAATGTTCCAACCTGGCTTGAGTTTCTTCTTCATATTGTGCTAGGTCAGACAGGAATGGTTCCACATCTTCAACTACTACGTCGTCGTGGACT